GAGCGAACATGGTAATGTGTTATTTGCTAACCATGTCTTCCATCGCGTGAGTCATTTTATCCAGATCCACCGAGCACAGAGACAATAGTAGGCATGGCCCAGTATGCTAACATGACTCCAGGCTACTTATGCTGACCTGCATCATCTCATGGTAAGCTTGCATTATCATAACTATTACGATAATGTTTTTTTAATAATTCTTTTAGTGTGACATCCCTACTACATCTACAAATGCGTGTTTACAGAGATAAGTATCTACAATGCGGTCCCATAGGTGCGGGAGTTATAATTGACCACAATTATGGCTTCTGTTTTGTCATCCGCAGACTGTTTATGTATTATTGGCGCCAATATTCTTTGTATATTTTTGGAGAATCTCGCTGTTGTTCTGTGGTCAAAACAGAACCTAGGAATAGTTGTGTGTTTGTGTGTGTGTGTGTGTACCGCAAAAACTTATTCTAGTAAGGTTTGAAACTCCTCGCCAAATTATTCATGGCCTAAGTTTCATAGGAGGGGGCCTGCATGCCCTTTTTCGTAAGGCATATTTAGGCTTTTTTAGTCTTCGTAATCCGTACGCGTAGGCAGCCTCCCCAAAAATCAACGTACTTGAATAGTACATTAGCCGCAAATCGGAAAGTCGTAATCAGCTCTGAAATTTGTAATCCGTTGCGAAAATTTTGCGTAATTCGTTATCACTATCCCCCATGCAGGCCCTCATAAAAGAAGAAGAAATTTATAACTTTACGTTTCTTGTCCTGATGCAGACTTGTTATCTGGCCAATCAGAGAATGCCTTTCAAATCACCCGCGATTTTCTAAAACTCAAGCTGGTTGGATTAAAATTATCGTATGATTTGACGCGTCCATTGACGTTCTCTAACAGTCGGTCTTTATAGTTTATTGTTATATGTATTAGGTAAAACGAAGCACTTAGAAAGGTATTATCAAAATAATAATCGAGTGTAGTCAGTACTTGATTGTACAGGATAAGGATGAAAAGAAGACAGCTTCAGGTTTCACACTTTGGTGAAGGTTTCCTTTATCGGTCATTCGGTCCTCCACCGGCTAGTTGGACTATTCCAAACCCCTGTTTGGCGGGAATCCGCAAACATAGCGTTGTGGTGCAGACGACATTTTCTGTTCTGACTGGTTAGTCTTCCTTATCCGTTGCGTTGTGTCACAACAACTTGCAAACACCGTCAAATAGCCGGGAATATTATCAGGTAAGAAGTGGATAGTCTGAATGTCGCCCCACATAATATGTAGTTTGCGTACTACAAGAGGTAAAATAAAATTAATGTTTCGATGAGACGTACTAGTAGTAAACAAATTTTGACAACACCGCTGGCGAGCGCTATACCGGCATATTTTTGCGTTCTTCCCATACGGTATACCGGTTCTATTGTAATCGCTATAAAAATGCTATATGGATGTCCGCATTTTATTCGTAGAATTCTATCAATGCATGCATGAATGGACTGATGGTTGAGTCTTTTGACCTAAAGTAGGCTTATTTTAAATTTCAGACTGTGACTACAAGTAAAAGGTACTCTGAGTCTGACGCTACAAAATGGACAGTGTGGAGGCAAACTTTGCAAACAGCTCGTCACTGTTGGAAAACTGCTGCTTGGCTACTTTGTTCTCAAAGTACAATGGGGTACCCACACATCTGCTTCCTATGTCGTATGAGGCATCTAGTTTTCCACTGTACGACTCGTGGGAAACCATAGCTGTTTTCTCTTTGTGCCAGAAACCTGATTCTGCTAGGCCATGGAGAATGCATTTAAAAGATATTGAGAGAAACTCCAGTCTTAGAGTAGAACACGATGACTATGGTGTATTCTCAAAAGTCACTGGGTTTGCATCACCGGCCATAGAAGTAATGATTGATGACTGTATGCTGTCTGAATATCGCTCAATGTCTTCGGGTTTGTGGACACACACTAGACATTCTTATTCCAGGTATACCAATTAACACTAGGTACATCAGGTATCCCTCCTTGAGTGATATTATCATGGTACTTGACTCAGCAGCAAATCTCTCAATTGATCCTGATGATATAGATCTTGAGAAGTCAGAGGTGAAAGTGCATACTGGTTGCATTGAAGATGACAGGGTTCCTTTATGTGCATATTACACATACAGAGGAGGTATGGATTTATTAGAAACAATGCCACAGGTGTTACGGTATGCACAGTCAGTGCACAGCCTATGCAACTTTCAGCCTTTCTCATTTCTAGAGCGGCCTTATGGCACTTTAAAGCTATTGCATCAACATCAACACGAGGAAGCTCGTGATTGCATGGCTGAAATTGCTTCAAAAATGTTTGGACTTGGAGAAATGTAATCTATGTAATGTTTTCCAGAGTCCAGCATAGACTGCATAGTATTAAGAATGGTACATATTTGTTCTTGAAACCAAAATTATAGGAAGGAAGGTATACATTGTTATAGATGACACCCTGTGCCATACATGTATAATGGTATTTTTCAGCTTGAACACAAAGAAGTTTTTTTTTTTTTTTAAGTTCTAGAAAGTTTTAAAAGCCGGCCCTATTGACAGTAATTTTCATACATTGTGCAATTTTTGTTCTTCAGGAGATACGCTGGGGGCGTAAGAGTAAGAGATTGCCTAAGAAGTTGAGTGCGTGGAAGCAAAGCAGGAAGGAGCTGACCAATCAGTGGGATGATGAGGCCATTGACGAACAGACAATAAGCATGACTCCACCTACTGTGATGAGGAAGTGCAGGGGACAGTCAAAATGAATAAGTTGGAATTTGTATATAATCCATTGAAGATTATTGGTAACGAATTCGTAAAAAATAATGAAGGATTGAAAGATGAACATTGCCCGTCACAGTACTGAAAGACTTGTAACTCACTTTAAAAGTCAGAAGTCTCTGTGTTTGCTCAAATGAACAAATCTGATATCACATGCCTGACAGAGACATGGCTTTCAGAAAATGTGCAGTCCTCTCAAGTGCAGTTGGAGAGTTTTAATATGTTGGAGAGTTTTAATGTGACAAGTAATTCACCTCATGGAGGTGTGGCAGTGTATGTCAATGACGTATACAGAAATTCCCATTCCAAATGACATTGGCCTAGAATGTGCGGTTACGCAAGTTTCTGCTGAAGGCATATAACACTATTATTCTGGGTGACTTCAGTAAGAATTTACTGTCGAGTGATGAAAACAAAAAGATTCAATCATTTTTTATGAGAAATGGCTATGAACAGTTGATAGAGGCTCCTACGACTCTGAAAGGTACTCTTATTGATCATGTGTACATGTCAGCATTAGCAGATGTTGTCAATCATGGTGTGATACAGACATTCTATAGCTACCATGATGCTGTCTACTGTGTGTTGTGTTGCGACAAGGTAACACAGCAGCACTCAGAGGAATAATTACTAGTACAATCTGACTGGTTATCAAGGGGTGCTCCCCAGATGTTGAAATGAGGAATGTGAATCACGATTGGTGCATGTGTACCAGGGCTCGATATATCCATATGTCTCCTGTAATCAGCAGGAAACATAAAAAAGATATTCGAGTCCTGGTGCATGAATGATAATATTTGAGCCAGCGTCTGGCCCTTGCTCACCCGCACATTTAGTGGTAAGCGAGGGGGATGGGCCGACGTACAGGCCGCTCTGGCTCTTGCCAAAAACACCTGGCAAGAGGGAGCCTGGTCGATGCTCCATGATTGAGAGCGTTATTGATGAATGAAATATTTGAGCCAGCGTCTGGCCCTTGCTCACCCGCACATTTATTGGTGAGCGAGGGGGATGGGCCGACGTACAGGCCGCTCTGGCTCTTGCCAAAAAGACCTGACAAGAGGGAGCCTGGTCGATGCACCATTACTGAAGAATTGTATATCGGTCATGATCAGCTCCCCTGGTGATTGGGGTGAGGAAGGAAAATGACCTCCCTGGTGAATGGGGAAGAGAAATGAAAATAATAAAGTTCATCTCTTGATGGTTATATTCTTCTCCATTTACATGTACTATAATAGTTCTTTTTATCTAATCTTTTTTTTCTTTTCTTTCAGGAGACCATTCCTCTGAAGAACGCGTTGGAGTGGGGAAAAACAGATTTTTTTCTTTTTTAATATAGCTTCTATTTTTGTGATGTTATATTTTCCGTCTTATTGTCATGTTTGAACTTAAAAAGCATTTTGCATGTAATGCCATGTGTTTAGCACCAAAGGTTTCTATCACTGCATTATTCTTGCTAATCAATCTATTTCTTTTTTTCTTCTTTTTCAAGGATCAAGACTGTTGGAAGATTGTGCGCTGAACATACAGCAGGTAAGTTTGTGCTAAGAAGTTAGTAGAATTGGTTTCTATTTAAACTACATGGGTACAAATAGACAGTAGATAAAGGGTGTTGTCTTAAAGTAAAGACTGTGCACATGTTACCCTCCTGTTTCTATCCTTCAGATGGGATTCACCAGGGAGCAGAACCATCCATGAGAAACTGACCATGGAGGGACCAGACAGTGTAGGACCCAGCCATCCACAGATGGATATACATGTACATCATCCGACTGCAACAATTCTAGAAACACAGTGTGTGAAAATGTAAGATTTGCAATGTTATCTTTTCAAGAGTCAGAAATAAGTCAGAAATCCCAGAGAAGTTTGGTTGTTTTGCACACTCTCTGATGTACGTCCCCCAATTGTTTGCCTTCATAAACGAGAGGTTTTTAGGGGTCGTGTAGCTTGCAAAAAACCTAGTTTGAACGAATCATATGAAGGACTATTATATCTTGTACAGAAATTCTATTGCTTTACTTTGCTTTCTTTGACTCTATTAGCTCACTAGTGTGATTTTAGAAATAAGGTAACCATTATGATTAATCATAGTAATGTATAGCTTATTCAATGTATGGTTTCATAGTTTATGTGAGTGTAAATATGGCCATGTTGATTTGATTATATGGATGACATCTGTTAGTGCATCGGTTTTCGTTCAT